ATATAAAATAATAATAATATAATATAATATATAATTTATGGTCCAGCAGCATTTGTTACGGTGTCAGGTCAAAGGTCAGCTAATCAGATTTTCTTTCTCCTCCGTCCATCAGAGCCGACCATCAGCGCCGTCTCCGGCGCCGCGCTGCTCCCCGGTTACCCTCAGAACCCGTACGACCTGCCCAGGAACAGCCACATCCCGAGCCACTACGACCTGCTGCCGGTGCGGCCCAGCCCGACCCACAGCATCACCCCGCCGCTGCCCGGCAGCCCCACCAGCTCGCTGCTCTGAGCCCAGCGCCCTCACTGGGACGCTCCCAGTTCCACCAGTTGATTTCTTTGTCACTGTGTTTGAGCGTCGCAGCATCTGAACTTGATGAACAGAACTTCCTGCAGAGGGAAGAAGTGACGGATCTGTTGTTCAAAGGAACTGAAGAACTGAAAGTTCCTGAACCGTCGGAGCCGTTTCTCCAGACAGGAAACTCGACTCCTGACCATGAAACCTCTTTGGGAACATTTCTGCTATTTTTACACAGTTTCTTATTTCCTGCTCACATTCAGAGATCCAGCAGGAATCAAAGTTTCTCTTTTCTATGTTCTAGATATATCTGTTCTAGATATGGACTCCTGGATATTGTTGTGCTTTTCTCTTATTGTGTTGAGCTTCATTCTCCTGCATGTCAAAGAAAGATAGAAAAATATTGAGACAAGCCCGATAGATTTTCTACTGATGTTTTGGTTAATAATCGCCGTGTGACTCAAACACCTCCGACCTGACGGAGGCGCTGCAAAGAAAACCTCTCCTTCAGAAGTTGAAAAAATCGTAGCAAAGAGTCGTTTCCAGAAAAACGCTTCACTCTCTTTTCAGAGGGATGAAACCGGTCCAGCTCTAGCGCCACCATCAGGTTATAGCCACACACCTGGATCTGATCTACAGTTCACGGCTTTAGATCAGAATTTGTTTGAGATGCCAACCAAAAGTTCCAGGTCTGTATCATGAAGGACTTCAGGTCAAAGGTCAAGGTTCAAACCAGAAACATGGAAAGTTCCTTCAGGCCAGGAGGGAAAATCAGGTGGAACAGAAACGCTTGTAAAGTTAAACAAAGATGAACAGAAATCATTTGGATGATTCAGCCTGACAGCAAAAAATGTGGGGTTATTTATAATAATATTATAAATAATATAATATTTTCACAAAATTATTTATTAATTTCAAAACTGTTTCAAATTATTTTGTTTAAAGTTAAAGACGTAGCTTCCAAACGAAATATTTAGCTCACTACCTAAATATGTAATTATAAGCTGAAGATTTAGCTTCCTAAATAAATATTTAGTTTGGAGCAACATTTTTAGTTTGCTAACTATGTTCAATTATTATTTAGTATATTTAGCCACAACTAAATATTTAAATTGAAGCTAAATATTTAGCTAGCTTTGACACTTATAAATTAATGTATAACATGATGAAAATCTGACTTAGAAAAATGAGCGGCCATTTTTTTCTTTTATTACAGGCTAAATAACCCAAATTGTTGCAGTTAACTTTTGACTCCGACAGGATCCGGTCAGATGGAGGAAGAGTTGACAGTCCGTCTGGACTCACGTCTGGCCGTGAGATGTTAAGAGACGGGAAAATAAAATCCTGAATCCACCTGACATGAGTTTTTCCACATGAACTTTCTCCCTCCGTCACGCCCTGGACAAACAGAAAACCATTTTTTCCTGTTTCACTTTCATGGCTGTGGAGGCAGGAGCTGTTCGCTTAAGGTTTTTTGGTTTTTTTGAGGTAAGATCTCCAAAATTCTCCCTGTGAACATTTTCTTTTTACTGTGTATTTAACAGGGTGAACATTTCCTCATGCATAGAAAACATGCATACAGGTTTCCATATTTACAACTTGTGTCTTTCCCATTGATTTATCAAAACTAAAATCTTATAAAACCTCCACTACGACACCTTCTGCAGGTCATGCAGTGAGGAAACCTTTGACCCTGCAGATCAGCCTAAAATCAGGCTGGTTTGTTAAAACGTTTTACGTATATTAAGTGAACAGACTGGATCTTTTTACTGCAGAACCATCGTGATCGATTTTTATCTCTGGCTAGCTCAGGAGTCAGTCCGCTGATTGTAACATCTGTAAACAAAAGATCAAAAAACGTGGTTGAGAGCAAAAAGACGGAACCCGAGGACTCGGCCTTGAGGCATCCCGAAACTAATCAGTTTATCTGTGGAAAGGTGCAGAAGTTTACATGTCTTAATTTCAGCCGCGGCAATAAGAACATGACAATCAGATGTAAAACTGCTCATTTTGTGTTTTGATTCGTTTTTTAAAATAATTTCCTGTTCTTGTTCATCTCTGACAGAGAAATGTTTGAATAGATGTACCGACTGCTTTGTTTTCCCCACTTCCTTACCTGAATAAAGTCAACCTGACTCAGGGGGGCGTGTCGTCATCATCGGTTATGTTCAACAACCCTAACTTCCGCTTCTGAGCTTTTGCTACGACCTGTTAGCAAAAACACGTCCGACATGTTGACCGATGTGTTTATATGATGACTATTTAAAAAATCGTGAAGTGGAACAAACATGTCGCACATGATGTCCGGAAGCTGCAGTAGCTCTGTGGGTCTAAAGAACTTAGGTGACAGGAGCTGAATTGTTGTGGATATAAATCTGTTCCCATGGTAACGGCTTGCGTTCCAAGCCACTGCCCGACTCACGTCATGGCGCAGTTACAACGCCATGACGTCATAGCTTCCAGCTGAAAATCTATGAATTTGAATGTAAAATTTCAATGTTAAAAGTACATTTTAAAATATGCAAATGTCAGAGGTCATAATGTCCGACGTGTTACCGATCTGCGTGTTAGCTTGCTAGCTACTAGCCGAGTTCCAAAATTGTTCTGAGTCACTCCATGATGCAACAACTACTGAATAGTTTTTGCAAACATTGGACAGAGAGGGAATAAATAACTGAGTTGATCAGCAGGTTTATGACTGGTGCGCTTTATTAAGATAAACTGATAACTTATATAGACACAATTGTACAATTCATTGGTCTGTACAAAACATAAAACCATTCGAGTCGAGCCCACGCTTCGCCGTCACACTTGGTTGAAATGACATCATTTCATTCTGGTGTTTTCACTGAAATTACAGTCAGTTACAGGATTCAATATAGTAAAAAAAAAAAAAAGAGTCAACACAGGTTTTAAAAAAAACAACAGAACCAATGTGAAACACGATCAGGACCAGAACTCAGAGAAAAGGAATCAGTTCGTCCAGAGCTGCCCTCTACCACACACACACACACACACACACACACACTCTCCTGGGTTCAAACTGCAAGCACAATACATGCTCAGGGTTTGAGCTGGACCGGACTGGACCAGACCGACCCCGTCGGCGCGTCACGCTGCCCACCAGAACCTTCTTCCAGCAGGAGGAATGAGAATGTCGGCTATGTAAGGCGAACGACAGAAAGCCATGCATCGTGTCGAATCAGAGGCAGCTCGGTGTAACGTAGGCGTCATGTGACCGGGCGGGGGCGGGGCCGTGAGGTGGGGCGGGGCCATGAGGCAGGGGGCCCGGCTGCATGGATCCGCCCGCCTCATGTGGCTCTAGTTCTGGACGTGCAGAAAATCAAACTTCAGCTAGAAGAGCGTGTTGTTAGGAAACGGTGATCGCCCGGCTCCTCTCTCTCCTGCTGCCACGGATTCTGGGAAAACGCCACGCAGAGTTAGCTGCACAGGAATGTCATCCGGGAAAAAGATTAGCGTTTCAGTCCTTCATTTCTCCAGAAGCGCTCGGCTCTGCATAGTCGGAAAAACGTGACGGATTAATTCTAGTGATCCAGGTGGAGCCTGGCGATGCGGCGCGATGCGGCGTTCCCGATCGGACCGCGCGGCGCCGCCTCCACAGTACATTGCACTAAAGAGGAGGAAGGGGGCGGGGCTTAAAAGCTGAGATACGATGTGCTTTACGGTGATTACATGAAGGAAGGAGACGAGAAAAGAATCACATTCATATTTTAAGACATTTCAGTGACATGTCAGCGCGTCTACAGTAATGAAATCTAACGTGATATGAAATGCGCCTGCCGTCCTGCAGAAGCCTACAGGGGGAGGGGGGGCCCCACGTTATGTACTGGTGGGGTCGGGGGTCAGGATGGGGTCAGGAAGAGTTCAGGTCGCAGGATTAAATCTGCGTCTCGATCAGGCAGTCTGTTTGGGACGGTGGGGGGGGCAGGGGTCACGGGAGGGCAGCAGCGGGTCCACGGCCAGGCTAGATGTTCTGACAGCACTGCATCTTTGGTTTGTTCTCAGTGGGCTGCACCTGGATGTTGACCACGTTGTTGCTAGGCGACATGTCGCTCTCCTGGCGCTCCGACATTTGCTTCTGGGAGACGATCCGGTAGATTTCTGCAGGGGCGAGGAAACAGGTCACTAAACGACACTTTAACATTTACTTCTGCTCATCCTGACGACGACGACCAATAAACAGACCTTCGTCGTCATGGAGACGACTGCTGACCGAACAAGAGCTAAACGCACAGAACCAGAAGTGAACTTTAGCTCAGTGGTCCAAACAATTAATCGACTTATGACTGTTGATTAATTGTTTATTCGATTAAAATTTGTTTGATTAACTGATAACGTCAGCCTATGTTGTAGTTTGGCCTCCATCCCGCAGAGGGCGCTGCTGGTAATCCTGAAGCAGAGCCAGTTGATACAGAAACAAACATGGTGGAGCCATAACAGAACCGGAAATAAAAATGGTCCAAACAAAGTCCAGTATGGAGTGATAAATCCACTTTATGCAGTTCTTTTTAGAAATATGAATATCATGTTAACTTATCACCACTTCGCTGTGCTTCGAAGGCGAGGATTTAACGACAGAAAAACGAAGAAAGCAGAAAAATAGTAACAGAAAAATTAATTAAAGTTTATTTTGAGGACAAACTTTTCATAATTTTAACATTAACTAAATATCAACCAGATGGTACTGATGCATGAATATCTGTTAATTATTTCACCAATTTTATTCTCATCTTTTTTCAGCAACCTAATACATTCCTAGTTTGCTATTTTTAATACATATATTTAAGCTTATTAGTGTGAAAAAAATCTATATTTTGTTTATTCAGTCAGCATTTAATACAGCTGATAAAATATTGTTCAAATTTAATTGCTTTTTTAAATAAAATTCATCATAAAGTGAATAAATTAACCATGTGGGTTTTAATAAAATCAATGAGATCAATCACCTTTAGAGAAAATCAATAACTGGTTGTTTGGATGGATTCCATACTTCCTGTCATATTTAATGGGAAGTGTTGTTCCCTCTCAGTCTCATCCTGAAGCTGTAAATCCAGACGGTCAGCTGACCCACATTCCTCTGGAAGTTAAACAGCCGCAGGTTTAATGTCAGAACGTCCAATCAGACGCTGCGATGTTCCAGCCAGCTGCACCAATCAGACGCTCCGCCGGCCCTCAGTGAGCTAGCTGCTCTGCGTTAGCTGCAGCTAACAGCCTCATAAAGCTCTGATAAGGACAGCGGACACGCCCGTCCCGGACAGCGGGGGACGAGTTCTGCTGACAGGGACAAAGACGGCCCATAAAGTCAGAGCTCACCTGTCAGGATGGTCTGGAAGGCCGTCTCCACGTTGGTGGAGTCCAGCGCCGACGTCTCCAGAAAGGACAAACCGTTTTTCTCTGTGGAGGAAAGTGGAAGAGACATCTGTGAGACGTGTGACCAGCAATACGGGTCGTCCCCGTTTCCATCCTGAGGCTGAATCCGGACTGACCGGCGAAGGCGCGGGCCTCGTCGGTGGGCACGGCGCGCAGGTGGCGCAGGTCGCTCTTGTTGCCCACCAGCATGATGACGATGTTGCTGTCGGCGTGATCCCGCAGCTCCTTCAGCCAGCGCTCCACGTTCTCGTAGGTCAGGTGCTTGGCGATGTCGTAGACCAGCAGCGCCCCCACCGCGCCGCGGTAATACCTGCAGCATTACGATGAAGGACACAAGCAATCACCATCATCATCATCACCACACAGTCAGACTGTTACTGGAAAAATCTCTCAACTGTGGAAACAAACATTGACATGTCGCATGTTTTTCATATTTCCCTTCAGCCACTTGGCTCGATGCTTTTGAGCCTTTTAAGCGATAATTGAAATAAAATGACTCATTATGTGTTTGGTTTCTTTGATCATCCAATTAATTCAACTTTCAAGTGATAATATGGAGCAAAACCAGAAACTGAGTTTCACGGCGGTTGTCAACTGGAAGGAGATGAAGATGTGAGACAAAAGGACAGTTTTGGTTAGCGTTAGCTCCTGCTAAAATTTTTTATATGCTTAGTGGTTCAGCATTAGCTTACACTATTTTTTTATGCATGTAGTGATAGCTTCTGCTAATTTCCTAATGTGTTTAGCAGTTTAGCATTACCTTCTGCTATTTTTAAAGAGATCAGCAGTTTAGGGTTAGTTTCTGCTCATTTTTTATTTAGCGGTTAGCCAGTAGCTTCTGCAAAACCGTTTTTGTTCAAAATTTTTCTATTGATAAATTCAACAGAACTATAATACACTGTACAGCTTCTGCTAATTTCTTACATGTTTAGCATTAGCAGAACTAATATTCTTGTTCAGCAAATTAGCGGTGAACTTAGTGGTTAGCTGTGATTAAAAACTAGTGCAAACAATGGTGGCCATCTTGAAAAAAAAGAATGTCAATATGTAATTACAACTCCTACGAGTCCAACTATGTATGATGTCACAGTCACACCAAAAGTGCTGATCTCAGATAAATACTGGAAAAATTTGTGCAAAAATAAATTTTTCTTTACGATCATCTGAGTCAAGTTGAGTTCTTGGATCTGCATGTGAAAGATTTACTGAAGTTTTCACTATCGGAGCTTTGCTGCACGAACAGGAAGTTGTTATTAATAAAAGCGTAAAGCCTTTCTGAACAGCTGAAGCAGCTCCCAGCATGCCTCGCTGGACTCACGCTGATGTGATGGCCCGGTAGCGCTCCTGGCCCGCCGTGTCCCAGATCTGGGCCTTCACCGTCTTGCCGTCCACCTGGATGCTGCGCGTGGCGAACTCCACGCCGATGGTGCTCTTACTCTCCAGGTTGAACTCGTTCCGGGTGAAGCGGGACAGCAGGTTGCTCTTCCCAACGCCCGAATCTCCGATGAGGACCACTGAGGCGCAGAGAGCAGAGTTACAGGCCGGCCCACTTCCTGGTTCTGTTTACGCTAAACTAATATTATGTTTTTCCTAAGGAGCACTTGAGAACTGCTCCATAAACATTTATTTTCCCTGGAAATAACTTAAATTATCCAAACTGTTGAAACTATAGAAGCCCATTCCTATCATTAAGAAAACCTTCAACAGGAAGTTGTAATTACAACAATAAAACTCATAATAAGAGCATCAGTTTTAGTAATTATGACCTTAAAAATCACAATTCTGGCTTTAATTCTTGTAATTATGACGTTTATTCTCATAATAATGACCCAGCTTGTAATTTCATCCCAGTGGACAGACTGGTTACAGACTGGTTACAGACTGGTCTGCAGAGAACGGAGGCCCATGAGGGACAAACATCCCTCTGGGGTCTCTACATTTCCAACATTGTGAAATTAAAAGCCAACAAACATCCAAACTTTCCTCTGTGATTTTATGACTGAACGATGATTCTGAGATTATGATCCATTTATGGTTAGGATTTAATGTTTTCAGTTTATTTTACTGCATTCACGATTAACAATGTTTACATTTGTGACAAGAATTTGATTCTATGAAGCCTTTGCATCTTTTCCAACAAACTGACTGGAGATTTAGTTTTATTTCACTTTTTGAAATTATTATGCTACAATAAAACCAGCTGAAAATGTGGCTGCACAAAAAAAACTAAACTTTCACAACTTTCTGCTTTGAGCCTCAAAAAAAGCAAAGAGCACAGCAGTATTTTGTTTTAAGAAATCAGTTGACAACTAACAAAACTTAAACCACCAAAGTTTCCTGAGTTTCAGGTTTTCTTGTCTTGCAAAAACAAGATCTCCAAATGCAGCTTCCTGGCCATGAAACATGAAACAAAACAAATACAATAATTAGCTGATAGCAATTAACCGATCAAATGTTTTAATCACTTCATCTCACACTGGTGATATGATTAATTTTATTTATAGTATTGGTTTATTTTCTGTGCTGCTGCCTGAAAACTTACAGTCTGTACAGCCCTGGACCTATTTCACATTCTGTTCCACACAGCCTCAAACTTCTAGGTGTTTTGGGGATTTTATGTGACAAACCAACAGAAAGTAGAGCAGAATTGAAATTGATATTGAAACTATTGTCTGAAAAGTGTGGTGTGCATTTATATTCAGCTCTGCAGAACCTCATCCGTAGTTTCTCTCCACCCACGCTGAATGAATGCACATAAAAACATCTCCAGCTCACTCAGCCTGCATGGAGAACTAACCCTAACCCTTTCCAATGCTTCTTAGTTTGATTTAGGTCTGTACTTTGACTAGGCCACCCTATATCATCTCTGGCTGAAAGTTCAGAGTGTTTGTCCTGCTGGGAGGTGAATCTCCATCCCGGTCTCGGGTTCCTACTGCCTCTATTTTCATGCATGCCACACTTTTCAGATTTTTACTCGTCAAAGTAAAAATCTGTTACAATCCCATAAAATCGGATTGTAACAAAACGGGTAGAGTTGAAAGGGTGTGAATACTTTTGCTATGTCCTGTATATAAATAAACACATGAATGTTAATGTTAGCAGCAGTTAATAGTGTTTTTAAATGAATCTCAGCTGGACCCTCCCAGAACCTTTCCCACCCGAACAGAACCAACCCGTTGCGGGCTCAGGTTCTCCTCTCAGCTCCGGTTCTGGTCCCGGGCCCAGTTAAAAGTTCCGCCGGATGCCCGGTCCGGACCTCGCCAGGATGATAACGGTTCAAGGTGTGTCCCACAGCCAGCCGGCTAGCCCGAGCTAACCGCTAACACGAACCCAGAACCGCCGGGTCAGAAAAGAACAGCTTTCTTGTGTCAGGATCACACCAGAGCCGTTCGGGCTAATACCCACTGATTACCCGTTCTGACCCGGTCCAGAGAGCCCGTTGGGGATCCGAGAGTCAAACGGAACACAAAAGAAAAGGCTGGTTCCGTTAGCTGCCAGTTAGCCTGACAGATAACAGCGACGGTAACACGACCTACCTTTGAACAGATAGTCGTACTCATCGTCTCTGGTGCCCATCGTGTCAAAAAGAACAGGTTAGTCCGATAATTGATTTATTAAAAACTGAAAATCGGGAATCTTTCTGACTTTCCAACGGGAATCTGTTTGGAATCTGGACGTCCCTCCTGTCTTCTTCTTCGCTAGACTCCAGGCGGGTAAACACTCCGGCCCCCTGGTGGTCAGAAGAGGAAACTGCATGTGCAGTCCCAGATTCCGAGCCCAGAACCACTAATTCTGCTGCCAACATCTGACAAAACGTAAAGATAACTTTACTTTAGGAAAATACTAAATCAGCTGCTTTACTTTGTAACAAAAAAAAACAACACCTTTTTACGAATAATGAAAGTTAAATACAAATATTTAACAGTCATTAACAGGTGTAATTTTTAAATAAATTTATTGTCAAGTTGAGGGAAACAACAGAACATAACAGAAATTCTTGGAATTTGAGTCTCTGATAGTTAAATTCCTACACAGGGAAACTTAACAAGCAGTCATCAAATAGAAATAAATTTATAAACAAAGACAGAACATTTGAAAAATACAAAATAAATCGATGAAACAAAGATTGAACCAGCAACCTTTCCACTGAAGGATGATGTTTAATCCATTAATTTATGTAATCTGCTTCTCTAAATCTGGTTTTATGACAAAAAACATTCAGGTTAACTCTAAGTTACTGATTCCCATTTTCCCAACATTTACAAATAAATCCAATCTTTGCTAATAGTTGTGCTTTATGATTTATCAGAATCATTTCATGACTACAACCCTAACTGAACATTACATTCAGTTTAATGTTCATGGATCATCAACTAAAACCTTTATTTTTTCTCTGTGACTTAGAATGGAAGCATTTTCTCATAAAATAGTGTAACGCAATGAGGCAAGAAGCAGACAGGTGAAACTCAGTGGTTTACAATTAATTTACACAATTTAAAATAAGAAAAACCAAACAGTAAAGTCCAGGAGTCATAAACTAACTGAATCATAAACTATCAACAGGAGAAAAACAGAAATACAGGATGAGAAAAGGAAGATCTGACTGGTTACTGTTGATTAGGAACCGGGTGGGAAGCCAGGTCACCATCTGTGTTTCTATTACAAAACTTTTCACAAAACTTTGTCAATAATTCATTAATTAAAAAAAACACAATTACAATAGCAGAGTTTTCATTGATTAAAAACACAATTAAAATCAGACGTGATTAAGTTTAAGTCATTAAATCAGCCTTCAACTACTTCCTGTCTTTTTCTTCTTCGTGGTTTGCGTCAGTGGCAACATCCGGTTGTTGATCATGTGACCCGTGTGACGCAAAAAAGTTCTTCTGCTGCAGCCAAATAAACCACTTCATCGTAGCGCCAAAAGTTTTTATCAAAAATGATTTTTTTTCTAAATTTCATAAAGCAAATTTATCTTGAAAATGTCAAATTGTGCAATTATACAATTAATGGAAATGCAGCTACTGAAGTTGAACTGAGGAAATGGCTGTTATATTAACCAGGAAACCCGAACACTCCAGAGTCGAGACAGCAGAGGTTAGAGAAGCAGAAGATCCAGAACGAACTTCAGGGACGCATCATTCATTTCTTCTTGTTATCAGGGAAAAATTTCTTCCAGTTAATGTTCTGCAACACAAAATTAAGAAGCATTTTCAGATTTTATCAGCAGCATATTTACGTCTCATTTCCACTGAGCGCTACGACGCAGGGCGGTGCGGTTCGGGGTTTTATGGGCTGACAGATCCAGGAGAGCGTTCCCACCGCCAGTTTACGGCGCCACAGACAGAAAAAAAGGAGAAAATTTACACCAAAATTCTCAGAAATTTTCAAGGAAAAACAAAGAAATTTCTGAGTCTCAAAAGTCGAAAATTCTGAACTTGTGAAACTGAAATTTCAAAGTTTTTTTCCTGAAAATTTCTGAGATTTTTTGGGGGAAATGAGCCAATGTCTTCTCTCCCTACAAAGGCTCTAATACTCCGTTACACCAGTTGGGCGGCGTTACACCCAAACAGGTAAAATGGCGTCATTTTAGTGCGACGGGAAACGCGAAGCAAGCAGTGACGTTTTTCTGTCCCCAGTCAGTGAACCGTGGATCCTAACCGTGCGGTACCACCGCCATCTGGACCTGCAGCGTATCATCGGTTGTTTGGGCTTTACTATAGAAACAGATCAAATGGCGTACCGAACCGCACCGGCTGAGTGGAAACAAACTATCAGTTATTTTCCTTTCTTACATTTTTCCCCCAAGTGCTTTTGGGTTTTTTGTTCTTCACGTCCTCCACCGACTCGTACGTGTTGCTGTGGCCGGCGCCGTCTCTGGGGATCTGCTCGTACGTGTCGTCGGCGGTCCGCGTCGGGCCCTCGGGGACCTCGGCGTACATGCTGTCTGCCTGCTGGGCTGGACTTCCTGCGGCGGCCTCGGAGGATTGGTACAGAGGGTTGGGTCTCAGCTGGTCCTGGCTGCCGTTCTCTGGTTCTGACCCGGAGCTGCTCTGAGTCACACCTGGAGTGTGGTAGGAGTACGTGAGGCAGGTGACCTTCTTTGGCGGGGCGGACGCTGTGACAGAGAGGCTGTTAAACTTGTTGGAGTATTTCTCTTCCTCCTCCTTCTCCTCGTCGTCGTTGTTGCCCAGATACGGCAGGGATTGGCTCCGGCTCTCCACCTGGCTCAGATCAGCAACCGGCACCATTTCTTTGTAAAATTCACTTGAATTGTTTGAGTCTGTTGGGTGGAACGAGTCTCTGTTAGCGGGCAACGGCGGAGTTGTCCTTCCTCTGTGTGTCTGCGCCCTGTTTGGGTTGGTTGGCATTTCACTGGGATGGGACATTGTGTCTGGTAGAGATCCACTCAGGGAAAAACCCAAAGGCATTCCTCTTTTTGGTACCGGAGGAAGGGCCTGAAAATAACAAAGCAAAACAATTCAATCCAAAAACTTTATTTGGAGAAATCATAAGCCATGCAGCACCTGTCTATCCATGTCTTATGCTGCTCGTTTTTTGTTCTTTTGGACTAAAATGTGAATGTTTTACCTAATAAAGGTGTTATTCTTCTTCACAGGATGGGCTAAATGCTAAAGCTAATGTGCTACCTTCACCCATGTTGCTGCAACATCTGCAGGAATGGAAGGATCCATTCTCAGGAGAACATTGCATCTCACTGCGTTGCCATGTCCTCTTCACGTTAGACGCACGCAGCACAGATCAGACCATAGATTTACTTCCATACAGTTAAATTTCTATGATGCCCCTTGTTATATTTCATGGTCAATTTAATGTTGGTGGCCTGGAGTTATCTGTAACATGCAGGTATAAAGTGCATGAAGTCCATTGTAGTGTACTGGATGTACAAAAATTCAATATTTAAACCAGTGCATGCTCAGATATATTCTGCACTGAGCAATAGTTGTAAAGACCAGAAACACTCTTTGAGAGATGACATAAATTCAAAAACATGCAAATGGCCACTGCAGGGAAAGCAACTAATTTAAATGGACTGTAAATAATTAATTTATTTGAT